GAAAGAAATAAGTGCAACTCAGATTCTTCTGTACACAGGAAAACGCATGATTATCTAAGAGTCACAGCATTGATCCCCAGAGCCTATGAGGAACTGGTGGGATCCAGCTGTGTTTCACCACTTGATTCTGAAATTCTTCCCTGGGGGAATACATCTGAGTAGTTTGTCTGCTCTGCTTTGTTACACAGAAGTCAAGTTGTGGGTAATTTCTGAACTTCTTCTGTGCTTTGTAGATTTAAAAAAACAGCATTTAGAATGGTTTTTATAGAAGACAGGGCTACAAATGGCGATTTTTAATACTGACATAGATCTTTTCATTCTCAACTAAAGCCCCCTCCACAAAGGTATTAGCAATCTGTTTGGATGGCAGAGCTGAACAGTGACAGTAGCATTAATGAATATTTGCTATGGGGCCCTGGCAGAAAGACAGCACAGAAATCCAGGCTTGCACCATTTTTCTTCTGCCTGAACCTCACCCATTATTTTCAGCTTCCTGTCACATATATTGTTCCTAGAGACACTGGCTGAACAGTGCAAAGAAATTTGAACAGCCTTTGGGGAACACTGGGAAGAATGAATCATTACCCGCTTCTCCTCTGTATTTTGTGTTGCTGAAGAAACACTAAAGGCCACCATGATTCTTACCACTGCATCAGAGTGGTACATTTGACAGATGTAGCTTTCCCTCTTAGGCTGAGTGGGTTTGAGCAGTGCATAACAATATGATTACACAGTCATGATTAGCTTAGAATATGGCTAATGGCATTTCAAGTCAAAGGTTTGAGAGATGTTATCTTTAGAATTTAAGATAATGCATAACTCCCACAAATTCTTTTACAATATCTTATTTTGTCAATAAAGAAATGAATGAAGGGTCAGTGCAACTGAAGCAGTTTGAATACAGACCATTTTTGCTACCTGCTACAGATCTGCCAACTGGAAAGTTCCAACATTTTTCAAGTCCCCAATTTCTTTGAGAAGTTGGATATAAAAAACAATATGCAACTTTCAGGTTTTATTGGGTTGAATGAGTTAATGCCTACAAATGCATTTGAAAGTGCTTCACAATGCTTAATATAGCATTCTTTCCTTCATCACTTTCAATAAGTATTTATTAAGTGCCTGATTTATGCAAAGTATGAGTACAGTAGTGATCAAAGCAGATGAAGAGTTAGGTTTGTACAGTACAGTGTTTGAAGTTTTGATAGTGTTTCTCTTTTACCAATAAGCACATGATCTATATTTAAGGACCTTGCTACCTGCAGTATCTTAACATTGAAGTTAACTTCTTAATGTAAAATGTTGGTGGGATGGAGGTTGAAGACATGAATCATTTCAGAGTAAGAAGACAAGCTCAAATTTGGAAGTCCATCTGAATTTCCACTTGAGAGCACAACTTGACCATGGAAAATTTCCTGAAGCCAATTTGCCGAAAAATTGAAAACTGTGTTCTATAGCCCTGGATGTCCCTCTGATAGTACTGTGCTTTTGTTTGCAAGTCCTTTTCCTTTGACTAAACATACTTGAATTTTAAGTATTAGATTTACAAATAGATGTAAGAAAATAGTGCCAATACTCTGTGCCCTATACCAAATTCCCCTTATCAGTATTTCACAGTATTGTGATTTGTTTGTTGAAACTAATGAACTCAAACTGATGAATAATTTTCTGAAGTCCCACTTTTTTCTAAATTAATGAGTGCTGTGTAGGTGGGGGAGGGGTTGTTTGTTTGAAACATTACTGTATCCTGTCATTAAGTCATCATGTCTCTTTGAGCATTGCACTATCACAGTTTCTAAGATTTTCTTTGTCTTGTGTACTTTGATAGCAAGGAGGATCCCTGGTTAAGAAGTAGGTAGAGCTCTTCTGACTTTATTTCTTTTAATGGATAGATAAGAATTGTGTATAATTGGTGACATAATGTGTAGTGTAATAGAAAAATTACTTTTCTAATTTTATTACCAAATACAGACTGGTTGATATTCTTTGAATATGGTATAACCTTTGAGTTGATTTGAATAAATGTCCCTTTACTGGAGATAAAACAAAGACAAGAGAAAATACATGTCTTTTTATAAATGAATATCAATCTTCACTTTTAAAACCGAGATCTAAACATTACATTTAAAATTATCAAAATATAGCTTTGCATTATTTTTTCAAAATTTCTTTAAGCTTAAAAAAATAATAAACATACTCTCAACTATGTGGTGCAAAATAGGCCATAGGCAGTTAAGCATTTAGCTGTGAATTCCCAGAAGACTGTCTCAAGTGATGAGTCTCCACAGTGTGTGAAGGCTTTACTAAGTCCTATACACAGACCCTGGCATCTATCACTTTACAGTGTCTTTGCAATAAATGAGCATTACCCTCTAGATGCAGGAGAATACACTAGTATATTTATTGCAGGGAATGGAATAACCATTATTGTATTTTATAATTTACAAATGAATCTCACCATAAATAAGAACATTTTCTTAGGATTAATAGGTGTTGTTTTCCCTTGGTAGATCAATATATAAAAACATTTCTCTGTCCAGAGAAAGTGTTATTATAAGGAGGGTATTACCGCGGAAATCTTTCCAGTGGTCATTCCATGAAATAAATACCCACACCAGTACACTCTGATGCATTGTGTTGCCATGCTGCATTTAAAGTATGATATCTACAATCCTCACTTCCCATAGAGCTGAGTACAAAACAAATACAGTGGTTGTAGCTCATAGCTGCTTGTGATTTTACCATGGACAATCACAGTTTTGGCAAAGATTGTCATTAATTTCTTGCTCTCTTTTTTCTTAAAATTTCCAATTCAACTACATTTCATGAAGTATTTTACCCTGCTTCAATCTGTCCTACTGTGAGGCACTATAACATTTCCTTACATTCTGGAGATTTCTGATTTCCCTAGCTCTATTGAAGGGTAAATGAAGTGGTTTAGGAAACACATAAGATTAATTTTATTATATGAACATTTGCTAAACTGGATGCTGGCAATATTTTCCTAGACAAGTGTTTTCAATCATTTTTATTTATTGGGAACAGTGAACAATTATAGACCTATCTGAAATCTGATGCTTTTATGCTGCTTCTAGATTCTTAGAGATATTTGTGGACTATTGTCTGGTTTTTAATAATGTTCCATGTCTGAAAGCTCAAAACCACCTGCAATTCCAGCTCCATGGAATCCAACCCCATAGTCTGGCCTTCCCAGGTGTATGCACACATGTGGGTCATGCACACACACACACACACACACACACACACAGACACACACACAGCACACATACATACACACACTTACCATGTACACGATCACACAGCATGCATACACACACCATGCTCACACAGCATGCATACACACACCATGCATACATACACAGACACACACATTAGGGTTCCTTGTCCAGCCAGCCCTACTTATTTGACAAGTTTCAGATCATTAAAACCCTGTCTCACAAACTTAGGAGGGTGGCTGCTAAGAAATACCTGAGATCTTGGAATTTATGCAGGACTGCACAACACACACACACACACACACACACACACACACACACACACACACACCAAATGTACCTGAAAGTTTCAGGCATCATGCTGGCCTGGCCCTGTTACCTGGCAGAATCCACTCAGGCAGTACCCTGGTCTGCCCAGGGTTCCATGGGAACTAAGTTTGCATGCAGGTGTAAAGGACCCCTTTAAAAGACAGACCCTGCCTACATACTCTATTCTCTTTACTCTCTCCTTCCTTCTCCCTGCTCTCTGCTCTCTCTCCCCTTCCTCTTCCTCTCCAGCATCTCTCTTTTCTCTCCCACTCCCACTTTCACTCTCCCTCCCCCATCTGGAATAAACTCTATTGAAAATGTATCTCTGTATCTCACGTCACATCTTGCGCTTTCTTTAGTATTTTTAAACTTAAACAAAATAACAACAACACCCATGTCAAAAGTGTTTATGCCTATGAAATGACATGCAGAAGCACAATTTAAGAGCAGCTGGAGAAGCAGGCTGAGATTATTTGGGAGGCTAAAGAGGTTAAAGAATCAGCCAAGAGGTAGAAAATATATGAACTTAGTATACAATAACAGGTCTTATTCGCAAATGATCATTGGGTATGATGAATATTGCTTAATGGGATTGCCATATATATGGACTTTACTGTGCCTCTGAAGTAAGTTAAGATGGTGTGGTTGCACTTTGAAGGCTGATCTCTCCAGATTTACTATCAGATTTTGGAGCCAGAGGGCTTTTGGATTACAATACATCAATACTTCCAGGGTCATCAACCTCTTGAACTAGTAACCTGGTGTGGTAAGCCTGGGATACCTTGAGAGTAGTGTCTATTGATTGAATACTCCTGCCATGTACTTCGTGCATACATCCTGAAACAGAGCGTGCCTTTAATAAATATTCAGACTAGAATTCCACTTATATTTATATCGATGATGTTGGTACCGGGTATTGAACTATAATTCTTTATAAATGCAGCCATGTTTTCAATGAGATGCTAAAGTGAATGGAACAATTTTACAGTGGCATTCTTTATTCTTTACCAAAGGGTCCACACTATTGTTTAAATGAAGAAATAAATGTAGTAGGAAGACAGGAACTAAGAAAAGGAAAAGAGTTAAGAACATTCATCCTATATCTTTATTTTAAAAAAATACTATTTGCTTATATAAAGAGGTAAACATAATATCGGATTTTCCCTAGGAAGGCAGTGTGTTCAGGGAAATTTGTGTTATGCCTATTCTGTGGCAACAGAATAGTTTCTAACTGTACTTGTGGATATTTTGTGGCATCGTCTCACTTTTACTTTAATGTGTGAAATCAATTGTGGTCAGTTTTGATAGATTTTGGGATTAATTCACGTGACAGGCAATTCTGGCTAGCTGCTGTTAACATTATTAGCATAATATCACATTAGTGATGTCTTTCTAAGTAGGGAAAGATGATGCCATCATTTCCTAACTCTTTGTCCTATTCTGTTTTGAATACAGACAGTGCCAGTGAGACACCAGTAATATCAACAATGACAAGTGGGGAAATGCATAAGAGCAATGCTGTAACAACTGAGATCACTGAGATCACCTCCAAAGCAGAAAAAAGCCCCACAGCAGTGGCAGCCACTGGGAACAGCTCAAGCCCATCCACAGAGACTGAGGAAGAAAAGGCAAAGAGGCTGCTTTACTGTTCACTATGCAAGGTGGCTGTGAACTCGGCCTCGCAGCTGGAGGCTCATAACAGTGGTGAGATGCTGGCCTTTCCTTTTTATCTCAACAGCTCCACAATTACCTTCCTCTGAAAAGATTAGATATTTTGCAACAGTGAAACCAGTGGTGACAGAAAACTGGCAATTATTACATGGATTCCACCAGCTTGTAAACACAAAAAGACGACAAGCAAAATATCATTTATGTTGGGGCAAAGGAAGGTTTCTATGACTTGAGGTCATGAGTATGTGTGCATAAGTGATTGTGTGTGTGTTGTGTTGTGTTGTGTGTGTATGTGTATGAATCATTAAAGAAAGGAAAATGTCATTTTAGAATGTCTAGTATTTATATACTTCATGTAATTGTTTCTATATTACTATACGCTTGCTTCTAGATGAAGCCTCTATTCCAGTGGTTCCCAACCTTCCTAATGCTGAGACCCTTTAAGACAGTTCCTCGTGTTGTGGTGACCCCCAACCATAGAGTTATTTCATGGCTACTTCATAAGTGTAATTTTGCTATTGTAATTTTAATGTCTAGTATGCAGAATATTTGATGTGTCCCCTAATAGGGTCGCATCTCAGAGGTTGAGAACCTTTGCAACACAACCCAGTAGCGCTACTATACAGGCATAGTACCTATTACGTTTTTTGTGGTAAATGTTGATGTCTGACCCAGACCTGTGTGATATGTGCAAGTGTACTTCAGAAAGCCTTTACTACCTACACCTGGGAGGCCTTATTAGTTTGACTGAGGCACAGAGAAGATCATGGAACCAACTGGCAGAGCTGTGATTCAAGCTTGTTTCTCTTACTTAAGCAATTTTAGAGAGTTATTTTCTTTTCTTTCCTTTAAAACAGAAAGAAGCAATCAGGAATATAAATGAAACAATTGGCCTTCCAGTTATGGTCCCACTAAGTTGCTTCCTTTATGTTTGTGTGTTTAAGATATATAAAACATATACATATGTGTGTGGATATGTGTGTGAGTATGTGCATGTGGCATATATACACTTTTAATGTTTTTATCTGTGAATACATGCTTAAAATTATAAGCTTTCCCATAAAACCTAAGTTGATTGCTAAGATCAGTCTTACTCTAAAATTTAGGCTTTGGGGCCAGGTTCTATCAATGAACATAGTGGGTGGAGAATCATTGTGGTTCATGTGGTTGATGGCAATTGTACCACTAAGCAGTGGAAGTGATGCACAGGTGACATTTAACTGTGGACTCCATGCTCTGAGAAGTGATAGCAAATGGAATATGGTTCCTTTAGCTGAAGTCAGCAGAGATCATGAGTTTGGGGACAGAGACACACAGACAAGCTTCTTGCCCCAGTCAGCATCTCCATGGTACAGGTTCCCCTTGATGTGTAGAGAACAAGGGCCAATGAACACCATCAGAACCCATTTATTCTCCAAACATTTGATCAGTCTGTGTAATTACAGAGGGGTGCATTCATTTTAGAATACATCAACCATGCTTGTGTGGTTTGAAGTTATCAATTTATAAAATTTGGAGGCACTTTGGATTTTCCTAAGAATTATCTGATTTAGGGCCAAAGGAATCTGTTTCATCATATCACATCAGGTCATTATTTTTTGTTCCAATTGTATGGTCCTCTTTTCCACTTTGTGTGTCCAAATGCCCCAACAAGGGATACATTTGTATTTATCCAGGCACAACAGCAAGGGATTCCAAGATTTACACTTGGGGCCTGGACAGGTGTCATTTTGGGAAGAGACAGAGAAAGAACCCTTGGTGGCCTCTGTTGAGAAACTGGAAAATGGCTGGAAGCATCCCATCTGAGAGTTTTAGGAGTTGAATATGAGGCTTATGTTCCTCATGTCCCTGTACAGGACTGTTCCCTTTGGACCATCAGCCTATGCAAACCACTGCAGCTACCCCCTGATTACCAAGGTTTTTAAATTGAATTTTCCTTTTCCTTGCGTTTTCCTTCCTGAATCAGAGAGGTGTTTCTATTTATGAAGTGCCACGAGAATCCCTGGCTCATTTAGGTCTGTTATATCCTTGAAGTATAAGACTGTGTTAGGTCTAGAGTTAGCAAAGAAAGAAGACAAAAATAACCAGTGATTTTTTTATCCCTCCCCAACACACACTTGCTCTATTTTTGATATCTGCAATAGTGTTGATAGGACACAGTGTCTGGACTTCATCATGTGTGCACCTAAGTGGATGTAATGGTGTCCATATCCACACTCCAGCTTCATGTTCACATGGGAGCTGTTTCTGGATCTTCTGTGTGCAGTCTTCTGCAGGGAAATCTAAGGGCTAGATGTAATAACAAATGGATTTGTATGCTGAGAAGATTGTAGGTCAAAGGTTTTGTAGTTGGTTTGGTGTTTATTTTTATATTTTGGTAGCCTGCAGAGTAATTTCCCACACCAAAGACATTAGAACATATGGGTGAAGGCTCCGTGTAGGCACCAGTTCAACTTCTTCATGTTTGGTGAATTGTGTAGGTATTATACTTGGCAACAGGGCTCTGGTATCAGTTTTCAGAGAGCAATATGTTGTCTTTTCAACAGCTTGGATTGTTTGGTAATTACCATGTGATCACCTTGACCAACAACTCAATTGAATGTGACTCAGTTCTGATATTAGACACATTTCTTGGTGACCAGGGATAGCCAGGTGGTACTCTGTATATGCCATTATTAGAAGACCTCATTAAGATTGCCATTACATATCTTAGGGAGTTTTCACTACACTAATGTCCATATTATCCTTCGAATGCCCCTCAGTTCCATATGTCTCTACCTGAATTCCCTCCCTCAACTCCATTTTCCCTCCTGCTCCCTACCTGATCCTCCATTCCTGTCCTCAACCACCCCCAGTCTACCCATAAAATCAATTCTATTTCTCCATTCCAGTGAAATCCATGTGTCCCAGTTCTATCCTCTGTAGCTAAAACCACTGAACCTATGGATTGTAGGTTAGTTATCAGAATAAAGTAAATCTTAAAATCAAACCTTAACTTGGTCAGGAAATGTAGCCCAGTCAGATTCTGGGGCTTCATTTCCCAGCACTGAAAATAGAAGTCTTCATTTCCTACGTCACCCTCTCCTCTTGGATTTCAAGGAAAGGACGACAGAATTCAGAACTGAACTAACTCTAATTCTGCTTTTTTGCCTTTATAATAATTGTGCTGCCATTTCTTATTTGGTATTTCCTGTGCAATTTCTAAAAGGATGTAGTAGTGGAGGGGTCATAAGCTGTACCTCCACTGCCTTTAGAACTGTTAGGAGTTTAGTGATGAAACAAAATCCTGTAACTGAATTTGTGTGTGTGTAACCCAGTTTTATGCCTCGGTAGCATAATCAGTGGCCACATTGTCCTTCTCCCATACTAACCACATCCATTGTTTCAAAAATAGGCCAATAGGATTGTGCATAGTCCTTCATTGATGGTTTTAGACCTGATGGCTTCTTATAATGCTAGGTGAATGAAAATTGCTAAGTTCAGTTAGTTCATTTAATGATGTGGTTTTTTACCTGAATTTTTTTGATACACTTAAAGAAAGTCTTGTTCACCTTGTGTCCTCTACTGTCCCTTTCTCCTTTGCTGAAGAAGATCAGAAACCTTTTCATCTTACTTCTGGAACTAGGTGTAAGTTTAAAGCCAAGATGCAGGGGAAAGAAGATGTTTCTTCTTTATCCAAATAAAATTTTATATTTTTCCCACTGAGAAGACATTATACATAAGGTCAAAATAGTGTCAGTTATACCTAGTGTTAACTCTGTAGCTAAGGACTTCAAGAGTAAAGCTAATGATTTTTCAGAATGGTTTCTGATTTATTATTAATAATTATAAATGTATTCCTAATCCAAACAAATGATAAAAGAAGATTTGGGTAATAAGGATTTTTGTCAAATACTTTCTATAATTCAGCCTATTAGAATTAACTTGTAGTTAATATTTGCCATCAAATGCACAGATTCACTTCTTATGAGAATATGGGCTGGAAAATTGTCTTCTCTGATGTGTGTGTCTCACGTCTCAGTCAATAATGGTGTTATGTGTCACTATGACATATTTTTAATAATATTTTTATTTAATTCAGAAACAAGCTTGTTTCACATGTCAATCTCATGTCAATCTTCTTCCTTCCTTCCTCCCCTGCCCCCTACTGAACCCTGATCCCATCCTCTCTCTGCTTCTCAGGGAGGGTGAAGCCTTCCATGGGGATCCTAAAAGTTGGTCATTTCATTGGAAGCAGGACCTAGGCCCTCCCCCATGTGTCTCTGCTGAGAGAGTATCCATCTATGTGGAACAGGCACCCAAAGTCCATTTGTACACCAGGGACAAACACTGATCCACTACCTGAGGTCCCATACATTGCCAGGCCTTCTAACTGACACCCACATTCAGGGCGTCTGGATCAGTTCCAGCACAGCTGAAAGCTCTAGAACAAAAAGAAGCAAACTCACCCAGAAGGAGTAGATGCCAGGAAATAATAAAATTGAGGGCTAAAATCAATAAAGTAGAAACAAGGAAAACAATACAAAAATTCAGTGTAACAAAGAGTTGGTTCTTCAAGAAAATCAACAAGATAAATAAATCTTTATCTAAACTAACCTAAAGTCAGAGAGAGAACACATAAATTAACAAAATCAGAAATGAAAATGGAGACTTAACAACGGACACTGAGGAAATCCAGAGAATCATCAGATCATACTTTGAAAACCTGTACTCCATAAAATTTGAAAATTTAAAGGAAATTGACAATTTTCAGGATAGATATCACTTACCATAATTAAATCAAGAACTGATAAACAATTTCAATAGACCTATAACTCTAATGAAATAGAAGCAGTCATCAAAAGTCTTCCAACTAAAAAGAAAAGGGGGGCAGGGCCATATGGTTTCAGTACAGAATTCTACCAGAAATTCAAAGAACACCTAATAGCAATTCACCTCCAAATATTCCACACAATAGAAGCAAAGTGTCAATGCCAAACTCTTCTTATGAGGCTACAATTACCTTGGTACCCAAGTCACAAAAAAGACACCAA